TTTTGCTCCTTACAAGGTACACTCAGGTGCCCCGTTTTAATGCTTACAGAGTTGGATATAGTCATAGCAAAGTCTGTTACATAGTATATCACACACTTGTTACAGTTCTTTGATTTAACCCCATTTCCTATCTGCATCTTAGTAGTAACCTGATTTATAATGTGTGTACTTCCTAAGTGATAAATTGGATGGAGATTTCTTTACTGTATTTTTCTGTTATTTTTATAGCATCTTCAGTCTGCATGTGTATGAAAGAGCAACTAAAAGATGGTTAGAACCCAGATATTTAGGAGTTCTCATGATGCCCACTCTTCTCATACATGGGCCATTTTTCCGAGTTTTGTTACACAGATTCCTTCTCTGCTGGTTTGGATGGTACTTTCTTTTTGTTGGTGAAGCTTTGAAAATTGCTGCCATCCTGACAGAATGGTTAGTTACCTTAAAGACCATGTCATGTCCTCCTCTGCCTTGTTCCATGCTTGGTACCCACTGTTGAGTGACCTCTTCTTATGGAAACGATTTTAAATCTCCTAGTCATTTTCATTGCTTGGTAGGTGTAGGGCACTAGGGCTTCATCAGCTCAACTCTGCAGTAATTGAGTTTAAATCTTATTTTTCCCTCATTTTTGGCTGACCCTCAAAACCAGAGCCTGTTGAATTCTAGAGTAGCATATAGAAGACACAGAAGCCATAAATATAACCTGCTTTCTAAATCCAGTACAGCAGTAAATTTTGGTCTTTCAGAAGAAATCCTCCACCAAGGGAACCTCACGACCCGACAGATACTTACAGCTGCAGCCTGGAGCTGAAAGCACTCATGAATTCTAATCGCAAGGCGGCGCACACTCCAGTGGGGTTCTAATTGACAAAGAGGCAGAAAACTGAGACAAGAAGGCGCACATGTCCTTTGAGGAGCTGGCATCCCACACAGGCCCAGCAGTGCTTCAGGCTCCAGGCCAGATGAAGAGTGTGCCCGGCTGCGTAGCTGCCACCCTGGGCTATAAGCTCGTGTCCTTGTCTAGGTCGCCAGGCTCCTGTGAACCCCCTGCCACTGGCAGCATGTTTAGATACATACATATGTGTGTTTTTCAGCAAGCCAGATTCTCAGCTTTCATCATTTTCAAAGGGATCCACAAATCGTAGCAGACTAAGAGGCTGTGTTTGTTAGATGGACAGTAATCCAAACTTCCAAAATCGATAAAACAGTTTTTTAGGAACTGATACAACAGAAAGATTCAAAGGGAACTGAATTAACATTTATTGAATGCAATTGTGTGCCAGGGATTCCTGGAGACGTCAGCTGATCCTCACAGTAACCTCTCAGGTAGACAGAGGAGGTGTTTGGACCCAGGCCTTGCTCTCAAGGCACATACTTCCTGTGACATACACCACACTGCCTCTCTGAAGAATGAAAATGACTAACCACTGAAGATTAATCAAAAAGAAAGATAAGCAAGCTAAAACAGCAGGGATATATGATTTGACTCAAAAATGTAATTGATAAGCTCTTAATTGAAAATGTAAAATTTTTAAATTAAGAGCTTGTCTATTGAGTAAGATTGGGTGCTTTAAATCATACTGTTCCAAGCCTGTTGGCTGGCCCAGGGTGCAGCTTCAAAGAGTGTTCCTTCTTGACAAAAGCTTTTCAAGAAACTGGAGAAGATTTAAATGAAACAGTCATGAGGCCCCACTTCACTGCTGGGTCTCTCATGGAATTAAATCATGTGTTTATGAACCAAAGATTTGGTTAAGTAATTTAATTTCTGTTTTACATCTCTGTACTAATGATGGTCATTTCACTTGTACCTACTGTATTAAATTAGATAAATTCTGCTATATTACCCTCTATCTCTGTTTGGGGTTAAGTATTAATTATTTTCTTATAAGTCTTCTTGACAGAGTTTAGGAAATATTCCCTCCACATACCTGAATGCTTAACTCACCACCCTGCCAATGCTGCTTTCTTATAACTGTAAATCCTGAAATCCAAACTGGTAATTGTTTTGTGGAAAATATTATTTGAGAATATTCAGTGAACATTTAACAAAAATGCTCATGGACTTTTGGAGTATTCTATATTCTCTTTTTTTGGCAAATATATCTGACCTAAAACAGTGTAATCATCTGTTTGGATTCTCTGTTTGGGGAGGCTGAGCAGGATTAATTCCCATCCTGGTGTTGCAGTGTAAACAGCTTTTGCCTGTCTTTTGTCATTAATGATCATGCTGTAGATGTAGCCAGTGCATTGTAAGCCAATCTGTCAAGGCAAATAAACAATTCACCTTGTTAAAATTCCCTAAATCTTGCATTAATAAAACCAAAGTAACCCCCTGAACACTCAGGAGATGTCTTCCTCCATACTGCAGTGATGGATGACATGTCTAAAGATCCTGGAAATTAAGTAGTTCAGGTCATTAAAAGTGTCCCACACTAGTTATTGATTTAATTTATTTTAAAAGGTGGGGGTGGAGATAAGAATGTTCCCCCTTCTCCTGTTCTCTTTTTTTTTAATCTGAAAGCTACCACTTGTTCATATAATTAAAACTATTGCCTGGGTGAGCAGCTCTGTATTTGTTACAACATTAAGCTTTATTATTCAAATGGGTGTTATCCTTTTAAATAGAGATCTAGAAATGAGTAGAGAATCATTGCAACTTGTATTACAGCAGAAATTCCTTGGAACTAATAAATGTGTCTCATGAGTCTTAGTACTTTTGATGAACTTCTGGGCACCCCAAAAATGTCCTCAGGTAAAAATTTAGATGAAGGTCAAATGATTTGAAGGAAATTAACTGAATTAGTAATGAAAGTATGCCTCTGGATAGAGGAAGGGTTTTTTTCTCTCCATTTTATGAATTTTTCATTTTTTCACTTTATAATCAAGAAAAGAGTAAACATTTTAGATGGACAGATCAGTGGGTGGGTGGAGGATGGATGGGAAAGCATTTAGAGAGTGCAGAGTTTTTCAGTTCCTTATCACTACATGCTAAGGCAAGTTTAAGTTATGTGTGTGTTTACTTGTTTATCAGTAACTATCTCCAGCAGTCCCCATTCTGCTGGACCCATGGTATTCACTGCCATATCCTGGTGCCTAACAAAACAGATGCTCAGTAAATACTTGTTTAATGAAAAAAGTATAACCCTAAATACTTTTCTTTTCCTCTATTTTTTATTTCTTAAGCTCTGGTGGGTACAGTGGGCTATGTAAGGAATTGTAAGAGCCCTAGGCAAGGCTGGCTGTCCAGACGACCCCTCTCCAGAGACAGAACAGCAGAAGGATTGAACACTAGTGTAGGACTGAGGTCTCCTGCTAGGACTGGTGACCTCTGTAGTAGCTCAATCCATTTATATGTCCTAACTGGGTCACAGAATTCCAAAACCCTGTGAGATATGGGACAGTTCCGAATGTAAGTTGTGGCTGAAAACAATGCATTATATAGAATTATTTATATACAAGATACGATGTAACCTTCCTTTTGTCATTTGTTTTGTAGCTTTTGCGTCGTCCT